TTAACCAAACCTTTAATTTTAGGATGGCTTTCCACACCAGAACGGCTCGCCGGGCTCTCAACAGCGAGTAAACTCTACTTAGTTATTTACAACGAGTTTGTTTATTGCACAGTTTGTGTTTATAAGCAACATTTGTCTAATCTCCCAAATCTTTCCAAAGGAATTTCGGAGGCCGCTTTTGGGGCCTGGCGGGCTCTGGGGGCGCGGGGCACAGCCCTGCCAGCCCCGACCACGCTGCTCTCCCCACCCCGCACGCAAGTGTAAACGGGATTTAGGGATTTTCCCGTTGCATTCTTCCTTAATTTCTGTCTGTGTTTCAGCTGGTATTTTGTTGCTAAGTAACATTTTGGAGTTTGGCAGCATTTGTGCGAGGGTGCTGCTCCCCACAGCCACAGCCACCCCGCTGTCACCGTTGGTGACAGAGCCCGGCCACAACCACACAGGCCAAAACCCCAAAACCACGCTGTCCCCAACCTGTCCCCTCTGCCCGTGCTCTGAGCACGTGCACACGCACACACACCCACCCACAGCCACTCTCTTGGGTGCCAAAGTTCACCCATTCCCGGCGTTTATGTGAAGCGGTTGGGCCATGCCTGACGTCACCGAAAATTAATAATTTGCAGTTGTTTAGGAGAAACATTTGGTTGATATTTCCTTTCCATGTACTGTGATCAGAGGAGACCCAATTTTTCCTATTAAACTACTTAAAAAGTTGACTCCGAAAATGAGAAGCATTTCCTCTAGTTCCCCAAGTTTATTGTGTGTGAATCCCTAGAAGAATTTGGCAATAATAATTAAAATAAGGAAGGATGATGCACCACCAAATGTATTTACTGTAATATCAGTGGTGCTAAAGATGTACTTGGAAACCTATGCAAATCACTGAATAACTTTTTTCCCAAACCACAGCTGGTTGAAACCATTTTCAGTAAAACACAATTTCATCTAAACACGCTATTTCATCAGGGCTGACACGTCCAGCGCTCAGTTCAATTTGGGCTTTTCTTAGGAATGTTCTGCTTTCCAGAAGAGAAGGCTCAATTGAAAGCGTGACCCTTAAGAGTTTAATATACTCCATTTCTAACTGTTTTTGTTTTAAAAGTCATGTATTTCAGGTCCTGGGGACCAATATGCTCGGTAAAAATGTCCAAAGGCTGCCCCGGGGCCGTGGGGCTGCCCAGCCCCGGACAGGCTCAGCTCCCCTGGGCTGCCAGCCGGGGATCAGCCTGCGAGCTGAGAGCACAAACTGCTGTGGGAGCTAAATCGAGCTTCCTCCAAACAAGCCGCAGCTACCGAGGCTTTAAACGTGGCTGCTTTTCCTCCCGCTCGCTGGGAAGCCGCAGGCGCTCGGAGCGGGGCAGACCGCGGCTACAGCCGGGGAAATGGGCGGCTTCAACACTCCTCCCGAAGAAGGAATTTTCACCCTTGAGGCAGCATCCACGAGTGCTCCCAGAACTGCCCATCTCTGGGCACATGATGCTGTGGCTGCTCCATTCCTGCTTTCCTCCCAGCCGTGTTATCCCAAGCACCCACTCCTCAGCTCCAAGGAACCTCTCTTTCTCCAGCCTCTGTGATAATGGAAATACTCCAACTTCTGCCCTGTCCCTTCCTTCCTTCCTCAGCTTTTCACATTTCAGCAGCCTCGCCTTGCCCGCAGAAGCAATCCTGCCCTCACCTGCCCTGCTGGGCCGGGGCAGAGCTGGCTCTGGAAGCCAGGTCAGTGCTTGTATCAACCTGAGACTCCCCAGCAGTGACTCATTTTCTCTCCCAGTGATTCCAGTTCCCCTCAGCTGACCAGTTTTCGGGAAAGTTCCTCTGGGCACGGCTGTGAACAGCCATTTGTCCCCCAAACCATCTTCTGGTCTCTTGACGGAGTCGCTTTTGTGCTTGGTTGCCACCAGTTGCCCGAGCAGCCCCGAGCTCCCGCTCCCTCCTGGCCCCACCGCGTTCCCACCAGCCCTGCTCACCCTGGATCGCTGTGCCGGGGATGCCAGCCCGGCCGGGGCTGCCACACGCCCGGACGTGCTCTCCAACACCGAATACTTGTGCTATCTGCGCGACTCTAAGTGCTCCCGGCCCCGTGCAGAGAGCTCCACGGTAGCTGAGAATTCCCAGAAACTACCACTTTCTTTCAGTGGCAGACGGGTTGAATTTGATTAAGTTTTGCCTCATCCACCGTGATCTGTTAATGATGATGAGATTGGCATGGAAAACGCTGTTTTCCACAAGATTAGAGAGGACTTTTATAGGGTGGGGGACACTGAGAACTTTACTGCAGCCAACAATTTTTTTTCGCCAGTGTTGCTGAACTACTGAAACAGCACAGGGTCACTTGGAAACCTTCTCGATCCTTGTTTTCCTAATTACTGTCATTCTGCATAGATGACTTTTCATTGTTACACGAACCGGGGCAGGAGGGGACTCATTTCCACAAGGTTTTTGTTATGGCGTCACTTCTGTCTCTTACAAAGCCTCATCTTATCTAAAGGAAGGGGGACATCAACTTTCTTCGCTTCCCAGGAGCAAAATAAATAACTGCAGGGGCAGCAGGGCATGGGAGTGATGGGAGCTCCGGCGGGGGGATCGGGGGATCCGAGCCGTGCCCTTCCCTGCCCAAACCGCACCGAGGGGCTCGTCCTGCTCCTCGCCAGGGAGGGAACGCTGTCAGCGGTGTCACAGCTCATGGGCTCTGCTCCCCGACAGCACCGAGCTCCCCGCGGCAAGTCCCATGCCTCAGGAATCCCGGCGGCATTTTCGGGCCCCGGAGGGCTCGGTACCGGCCCGGGCGGTTCCGTGTCCGCCGCTCGGCTCTGGGAGCCCGGTGCGGCCGGGCCGCGCAGGTGGAGCCGCGGGGAGCCCGCACGGCCCGGCCGCTCCCGCACGTCGGGCGCTGCGGGGCTCGCTGCGCTCCCGCCGGCGCTGCCCCGTCCCCCGCTCGGTATTCCCCGTCCCCGTGCCCGTTCTCATCCCGATCTCCATCCCCGTCTCCATCCCCGGTGGCGGGGCCTCACTCACCACCACGAGGAGTCGGCGCGGGGCGTCAGGGCGAGCAGCAGCAGGACGAGGGGCAGGCAAAGCCGGGGGGCCGCGCCCGCCGTCCGAGGGAAGGCTCCGCACTCCGCACGCCCGGGGGCCACGGCAATCCCAGGAGACGCTTCCAGGCGGTTTGGGCTGAGCATATCTCTCCGGGGCGGGGTCCAGACGGAGAAATGACCGGGGAAGGGGGTCCTGCCCGCGCTCCCCTCGGGGCACTGCCCGTCACGGCCCCGCGGCGCGTCCGCCGGCTCCGCGCTGCTGAGCGAGCCCCGGCTGGGCCCCCGCGCCCAGGCTCATGCTGCCGGGGGGGCGGCGGGGGGGTCCCTCCCCGCGGGGCCGGGGGCGCTCGGCGGGGCCCCCCGGGCGGCGGGGCCGGGCCGGGCCATGGAGGTCCTTGCGCGGAGGGCGAGGGCGCTCTGGGGATGGGAGCGCGGGGGCCGCGGCCAAATATTGCCGGCGCCCGCCGAGCTGCGGGCTCTCATTGGGCAGAGTCAGAGGCGCGGAGCCGCCGCTCCGGCCGGACCGACCCCCGCCTCCCCGAGGGCACGTCGGACAGCCCCCCCGGGCTCCTGCCCCCCCGGGCTCCTGCCCCCCCGGGCTCCTGCCCCCGGGCCGCTCCCGGCACCGAGCCCGCACCCGCGGGGATGCGGCGCGGAGCCGCCGGTCGCGGCCGCTCCGTCGGGTCCCGGCCGGGGAAGCGGCTCAGCGGCGTTGCGGGATGCGGAATGCGGGATGCGGGATGTGGGATGCGATATGCGGGATGTGGGACCCGGGATGCGGGATGTGGGATGCGGGACGCGATATGCGGGATGCGGGACGGGGGATGCGGGGCCGGCTCCGCCCGCGCTCGCCCCCGCCAGGTGTCACTGCTGTTTGGGAAGCGCCGGTGAGCCGCGCTGCGCGGGGCCGCGGTGCGGGCAGCGCACGGACACCGCCCTGCCGGGAGCTGCCGGCTCCGCTGGTCCCAGCCCCGGGGCCGAGGCGGTGCAGACCCCACAGGTGCCCCGGAACCTGCAGGCAGCGGTCTGGGGCACAGGACACAGCGGGCACAGGGGCACAGTGGGCACAGGGCACAGTGGGCACACACTCCCTGGATGGTGCTGGGCACGGCAGGAGCCGCCATCGGGTGTCAGTGGCCAAGCTCAGCCACAGCCCCTTTGCACTATTTTGGCGAGGGCTCTTCCCTCTCTGCGTTCCTCTGCCACCCGTGGCTGTGGGGCAGGGAGAGCCAGGGGATGAGCTGCCCTGGGCTCTCAGCTTTCCTTCCTTCATCACCTAAACTGGTGACTGACAGCTGGTGAGGACCGACCTTGCCTGGCAGTTCCCTCTTCCCCATGTCCTGCCACACCGTGGAGGTGAGCAGGCATTCTGGTCACCTCTCATTGTCAGCACTTTAGTGATATACCTGATTAATTACTGGGATTGTAAACCTCATTATCCACCGAAGTCCTTTCCCCATTGCCAGAGCCCTCAGCTGCCCCCTCCCTTCGATCCAGTTCAGCTCATTCTGCTCCTTCCTTCCTATTCCTGTTCAGATCAGAGAGAGACTTCCCCAGCCTGAGAGAAACAGGGACTAGAAGCTCACACACGGTTATAATCCAATTATACTTCAGAAAACTGCAGTGACAGAAAGCTGATGCTGGTGGGGTGCTGTCCTTTTGTCCAAGTGCCCACACAGAATATTGCATTACAGCTTATCCCCAAAGTGGTGGCACTGGAAAGGCTGATATTTATAGACTGTGGAAGGCTGTAGATTTGTTTAGAAGACCCATCACGGTGGGCAGAATGCTGGATGCTCTGCTGTGGGCTTTTCTCTGGGACTGGGTTGTTTCTACACAAAGACAGGAGCCTGAGTGTCCTGCTCTCGAGGGGAGGGAAAGGGAGGAGGTGACAAGCACCACGTTCATGTGCATGTGCAGGTCTTGGCTGTGATGTGGGGCTGGGCAAGAGACCCCTGGCTTGGGCTGGAACTCAGCGTGAGAGCAAGTGGCAGCAGTGCCAGCCCTGGGAGGGGAGGTGATGCTGCCTGCAGGGTCACAGCTGAGTTTTGGTGTCGAGGTGAAATGCTCAGGCTGAGGTTTGCACCCAGGATACTGAATTTCTCTGTCACCCTGTGGCTTATTTGATGCTTGTCTCCATAAAACCCACCTGACAGCCCACGGACTGCCCTGGGTTTTTGAGGCTCTCCCTGTGTTGGGCAGTGAAGAGGCCAGGGCAGAGCCTCGTGTTTGATCTTCCATTCAAATTGGCGGGGCTCAGAGTGACTGGGTGCTTCATCCACATGAGCTGTGGTGAGTAAATAAACAAGGCTCTGCTTTCAAAGGCTTTCACGACTCATTAACTTCAAAGGAACGGGCTCTCTATTTTCTTAGCAGGTCGGTCATTCCACAGACTTACTCTGGGTGCTGGAGGTGGTGACTGGTCCTGCCAGGACGCTGGGACAGCTGCAGGGCCTGGTGTCACACACAGAGCTGTGGTGAAGGGCAGAGGAACAGCCATGGTCAGTGTTACACCTGAGGAGGAGAACAGGGTGAGTAAACGCATGGGCAAGACTGGTCTGGAGCATTCCCTGCTCCAAAGAGCTGCTCCATGGGTGGCATCCAGCCTGCAGTGTGCTCAGGGCAGCATCAGACAGGGTTTGCCAGCCATGGATGGGTTCCAGATCCCCCTTCTCTGCAGGAGATGGAGGCAGTGGGGTCTCCCTGCCCTGCCCTGCCCTCTCCTGCTGTCTCTCCTGCGTGGTTCCTCTGTCACCGTGCCTACAGGTGCTGGGTGTGAGCAGAGGAGGCTCTGGGTTGCTGCCGTGCCTCCCAGTGCCCGTGCTGGGAGGGAGCTCACCCCTCACGTGGCAGCCCCAGGAATAACTCGGAGCCTTGCATAATCACGGGAAAAATCACTGTCCTGGGATAACCCTCAGTGCCAGGCTGGCTCACCTCATGGGAAGCCCTTTTCCTGAGGGAGCAAAGCCCTGTTATAGCCATATTTATTGGGAGCTGATTTTGGGGTTGATCATGCAGCTCGGCCAAGCTCCTGGACTCGTAGAGAAGGGATGTGCTGCTGGAGCCTCCCTGGAGCTCTTTTCCTCTCCAGCCACAGCACACAGGGAACACAGCCCTGGGCATTGTGGCACCAGCACAGTGGCACCCGTGGAGCCCAGGAGAGAGGTGGCTTGGGACAGGCAGTCCTGCTCCGTGCTGGGGTGTCTGCAGCTGGCAGAGCTGGTCCTGTGCCCCCACATGCCCCAGGCTGTGCCAAGGAGGGTGCTCAGGAGCAGTTCCAGCCACCTGGAGATGGGGTAGGGGTTCCTTTCGGGGTGGGTAAGGGGTTCCTTGCTGGGGGACAGCAGTAGGACATGAGGGCCAGGGGAGCCCGGAGCCCTGCTCCTGGTCCAGCAAAGGCCAGCCTGTGGCTGGTGTTGAGTCCTGGTGACCCCAGCACTTGGCTATGTTAAGAAGATCTTTTATCCTCCAAAAGAGCACAGCTCCCAAAGGCTGAGCAGTCCCCAGGTAGCCCCTGGCTGTCTCCTCGGGCTCTGAGGTGGTAAGAATGCATTTTGGATAGATAGAAATAAGCAGTGAGCTGACCCTTCGATCCGGCCCCACCTCCATAGAAACAGCAGCCAAACAAACAGGCACAGGCAGCCCTGTTAGCAGGGTGACAGCGTGTGCTTGGGTCACCTGTCCCCTGCTTCCAGTGTTAATTGCTCTGTTCCTTCTCAGATTAATTGATGGATTGCTGTGTGGACATGCAGTGCCCGCCTTGTGAGGTGTGTGTAACCCTTTGGCCTCCGTGGCCACCTGGGCACAGACATTGTGGGGACATCCTCCCTCCCACTGGAGCCCACTGGTGCCTGTTGGAGCTGGGCAGCTCCTGCCTGCCAGACGTGGGAAGGGGATCAGGCTGCAGGTTCAACTGCAAGCAGGAGAAAAGGTCAAATAGTGAAATTTAAACCCTGATAGCAGACCTGGGTTTCCAACCAGCAGCTTTTGTGCCTTCCCGAGGCCTTTGCCAGGTGTGGTGCACTGGAAAGAGCTGGTTTCCCATCAGGAGACCCATCCCATGCTGTGGCATCAGCCCAGACCTGGCTCCCTCCCTCCCTTCCTCACCCACCAGAGCGAGAGGCTTCTCCTGGAGCAGCTGGACGTGCCCGAGCACCCAGCTGGAGAGGGATCCCTGCAAATCCAGCTGTGCTAGTCATGGCAGCCACCGGCGGCCAGAAACGGTGCAACAACACCCAAAAATACCCACAGGGCCCCGGTTTCCATCCCCTGCAGAGGCATCTGTGCACGGTGCGTGCGGGAGGGCCGGGGAGCGCGGCCATCAATCTGCAGGGGGCTGACACCTGACAGGCCTGTGGAAAAACACGGCGTGACATCACGCAGAGACACCAGCCCACTGATTCATCTCCCAGGTCAGGGCTGCTTTATTTATAACCAGGGGAGGGTTTGAGGTGGGTTTTTACAGGAGTGGAGCAGCCTGGGCTGCCTGCTGCTCACCCCGGAGCAGCTGCCTTCCCGTGCACACCTCGGCCTCCCCTGGACAATACAGCCCCTGAAACGGGGCTCAGGGGCACCTAAACCAAGCCTAACCCAGCCCTGGAGCCCAGCTGGAGGGACTGATCCCGCTGTGGCACCGTGCACCTTCTCTGGATTCCAGCTGCTTTCTTTGCTCCTGGAGTTTCTCCTCGCCCTCCCCAGCAGACACAGCTCAGCTCCCCCCAAAACACAGCACATCAAGCTTGAAATGTTTTGTGAAACTCTGTCAAGCTTTGGAGGAAAGGGAAGGTGGTCCCCAGGGCAAAAACATTTCTTCTATTTCTTCAATTTCAAAACATTTCCCATTTCGAAAGGCTATTTGTTCTGTGGTTTTTAACATTTTCACTCTGCTTTATAACACAAACCAAAATTGCAGTTAAAATAATATATTCTGAGTTTATCAGTTTGAAGCATTTCAAGCCATCAATTTCTCTAGGTTTTATTTTACAGATAACCTGGAAAGCTTTGGGGTGGGTGATTCTGAATTGGAACAGAAACAGGTTTCAAAATGTTTTGCAAAGGCAGAACTTCATCCCTGTTGCCAAGTGGGAAGTGGCCAAGGGAGAAAAAAAAGCCCTATCAGGTATATCTCTAGCATTGCTTCTAAGTGGAGAATTTTCCCTGTGATTAATGAAAATGGGGAAATGGGGCCAAATCTTTCACTGCTTTGACCGCAAAGCTCGCACCAACACGGCCGGGCCTTGGCTGGAACGACCAGGGTTAATTAGCTCTCTCCTGTCCAGGGATGCGGGAGGGATTTATGTTTCCTTTTCCTCAGGAATATGATCGGTGTCTGAGTATTAAGAATGATCATTTCACTGATGTAAGGCAAATTTCTTATCGTCACTGTAAGGCAGTGAGGGGCAGGCTGTGAGCAGGGGTGTGGGTCAGTGGGTGCCCGACTGAGGTCAGGGTTTAGTGCTGCTGTCATGAGCCCACGCTCAGCCCCTGGGCACAGGGGTCACCTTCTCCTGCCTGGAGGTGACCCACCTGGGCAAAGGTGACCCTTCAGCAGCCTCGCCTCAGGTCCTGGAGAGCACCACAGTACAAGAAAGTTATAAAGCCGTTAGAGACTGTCCAAATGAGGGCCATGAGGATGGTGAAAGGTCTAAAGGAGGCACACGCTGAGATTATTTGCTTTGTTCAGCCGAGCGAGGAGCAGCTCCTGGCTGGTGGCATCCCTGCAGCAGCTCCTGATCAGTTCCCACGGGTGCTCTCTGCCCTTCGAGGCAGGCAGTGCTGTGCCTCCCCAGACCTGACCCATCCTTGCTGCCTGCTCCCTGCTGAAGCCCAGCCTGGTCACTGAGTCCTGATGAAGCTCCACTGAACTGCTTGAGGTACTGCAGCTTAGCACGGTGGGGAGTTTGGAAGGAGAAAGAAAGTGGAATAAACGAGGAAGTGCGGAGAGCCCCAGCATAACTCCAAACTAGGGCAGGAAATGCACCACACATAGCTCTAACCTTATCATCCAGGATGGATTTTAAGTGCTTCTTCAGTGACTCATCATCCCTGAATGGGTTTGAAGGACTGTCTGCCAGAGAGGAAAGGCCAGAGAGCTCAGATCAGATAACAGGTTATTACAAAGCCCTCACGCTGCCCTGGGGCATCTGCCAGGGCAGCAGCCAGGCCTGGGGAGGCACAAAATGTGGCCTCTCAAGGGTGGTTCAGGTGGTCAGGGGGTAGAGAACAGGGCCTCTCTCTCCTCTCACTGATCACAGGATCACAGAACAGTTGGGATGGAAAGGACCTCAAAGATCCTCGTGTTCTGACCCCCTGCCATGGGCAGGGACACTTTCCACTGGAACAGGGTGCTCCATGGCACGTCCAGGCTGGCCAGAAGAATTCCAGGAATGGAGCAAGGTTCGTACCCACTCCTGGCCACTCTCATTCCATGGGCACTCTTGGTGCCTCTTGCCACCTCCAGAAATTTCTTGTGAAGTTTAGTGGCTCCTTGTACCCTGCCTCAGAGTCAGGTGAGGATGGGGGAAAACACAGCCTGAAACACACATTACTGAGCAAAACCACTGCAAAAAGCCCTCTCTGTATTGTGCCTTACATGAAAGATACTGCTGTGGTTCAGAGGTTAACTTTTATCTTAAGCTCAGCTAGAAGCTGAAGAGTTTTAGCATTTTTTAAAATATCAGAAAAATGTGAAAAAAAAGAGATAAATTCTGATCTCTGCTATGTTGGTATTAATGGGGAGAAATTTAATGAAAGTCTGTAGAAGCTTCTGATTTACTCTTGTGTGAGATGGGATAGAAATAGCCCAAAGAATCTCATTGCTGCTGCCCAGATTCAGCTGCACAGTGGAGAGCTATTAATGCTCTGTTTTCTTGCCTTTGGTCAATACATCTTGCAAGGCAGGAGGAAGCTGGATTATGTCTGCGAGTGTCCCAATGTCATGCTATGTTGGATAATGAACTGTGGATAAATTGGATCAGCTTTTCAGCTGCCAGCCTCTCAGAAATCCAACAAGGAGTCAGGGCAGCACGCTGTGCTTTCAGCCTTGCTCTGATAACCTGTGTGCTGCTATTGTGGTGATTCCAGGCTGGAGCAGGTGAAAATCATTGTTAACCTGGAAAACGTACATCTCTCTTTAGCTTGGTGCTTCCCTGTATCTTAAAAATGTCTGGTCTGGTGCAAATCCACTTTTCAAGGAAATAGAGATGTAATGAGAGCGGCCTCTTGCTGAGCTGAATTCAGGCACTGTTTTGACCTGGTTGTTCAGTTAATCCTGGTGGTGAGGGGTGTGACAGGAGAAGCATCCAGCCTCCCTGGAGGAATGCAGAGACCCTGAGACTGGGCACCTAAAGGTTTGTGTTTCCATGGAAATGGAAGGTTTGATCCTTCCAAAAGAGGAATATTGAAAGACCCCCACTCTGTAGCAGGGCTCTCAACCCTGGCAGTGGAGAGGACTCGCCAGCTCCTCTCCTGCCCCTCTGCTGTCCTGCTGGGCACCCCTTCCCTGCCTGTGCCCTGCAGAGCGTGTGCCCAG